TGTATTTACCATGAAGGCACACCTTCCTATTTCAGCCAATAATTTAATTATAAAATCTTCCCTGAAAATATCAGAGCCCTCTCCGCTATTAATTTTCAAAGGAACCCAGCAGCAGAGTATGAATATGAGGCAAAAAAAAAATTTGTTTTAGAAACACGTCAGAATAAATCTAAAGTGAAAGATCAAAGAACAAGGTGAGAAATTTCAGAGAAACCACTGCTAATGAAGCATAAAGCTTCATAATTATTCTGTTCCTTATCTGTAATTTTTCCTGGCCAAATACAAATAAATTAATTATAAATTTTATTTTAAAAATCAGATTTTTAAAAATGCAGACCAACACTATTAAGTGGTCTCATAATCTAAAATTATGAGTCCAAATATATTAATTGTCTTTCAAAAGAACAAGTTTAAAGTAGGTAAAGCAGGTCAAGTACATGCTCTGAAAGACTGAGACAACTAAGTTTTCTGAAGTGGTGAGGAAGAGATGAAGAGGTGTTACCTTCCATAAAACCCAAAGCGATCCACAACTCCCCTTCCTAAACTGGGTCAAGACACCTCAAGTACCTGATAGGATTCTAATTAATCCCTTTTGCATTTTAACTATGTGAACCTTCTTGTTCCTGTATGATTTTGTCTTCCTATGAATAAATACTGCCTCTTGGCCTGTATTTAGTAACAGAAAAAAAGATATTTCAGGAACATCTTGAAACAGCTTATAGCATTAGAATTTTTTTCTTTTTAAATCCTGTAAGTTTACCATCTGAATGCAAGTGTTAGAGCTCAGACTGTCCCACCTGATAGCAGAGATGATGCTGTTATTTTATAGATGGATGTAGAAGTCCTAAATCCTCTCCTCTAACAATGACTGTCAATAGGGAAAGCAATATCCAGAGGACTTTTTCAAACCTCTCACATTTCCTTCTTTCTTTTAGTGCCCTGGAGGGTGAAAGGAGTACTTTCTAGTGCTCAGATTGCTGGGAAAGAAAAGTGACAAAGCAGTGTGCCAAGGGACCAATGTCATTATCTTGTTGGATGTTCTTGGTATATTTGGATATTTTTGCAGCTTATGCTAGGAGTTTATAACACCCAAAGGAATAAGGCTTTAACCAAATTTCAAAAACTGAATTACTTGTTTGAACAAACACTGGAGGGATAAGATAGAGAGTAAGGTTTAAAAGTACAACCTTCATCATTTATAACATTTTACCTCTTTTGTAACATATTAAAAATATTTTTGTTTTCAGGAAAAACTACAAATCTTTCAAATTTTGAATGTCTTTTTTTTAAAGATTTTATTTATTTATTTGACAGAGAGAGACACAGCGAGAGAGGGAACACAAGCAGGGGGAGTGGGAGAGGGAGAAGCAGCCTTCCCACGGAGCAGGGAGCCTGATGCGGGGCTCGATCCCAGGACCCTGGGATCATGACCTGAGCCGAAAGCAGATGCTTAACGACTGAGTCACCCAGGCGCCCCAAATTTTGAATGTCTTTAATGTAACACTATCACTAACGTGTCAATGGCATTTCACATAATTAATTCAAATATGTTCAGAAACAATTTGTATAGGACCACAATGATGATCTGATCTTTCATTGAAAAGTGAAAAATATTGAAAATATATAGTATTCTGAGGAGCACATTTCCAAAAATTTTACACACAGATGGAATATTATATGGTTTTCAAACGGTGCTCAGTGGAACCCCAGAATTGGGAAAAAGCTCCTGATAGACCTTGATGAGGGCAAGGTGCTGAGGCTGAGGGGAGAGCCAATGTGGGGCTTCTCCCTACCCCTCCACTCTTTAAACAGAGCAGCTTTGCTTTTATCTACTATATATATGATGATTCAGGCAATATTTTGTTTGGAAAATGGGTTTTGCTCTTAAAAAAAAGATTTAAAAACGACTCTCATGGTTTAAAATTCACTATCTCATATGCGAAGTCCATTCTTACGGTCTGCATAAAAAAGATTCCAATCACATAAAAAAAGATTACATAATCAACATGTCTCATTTAAAGTAGCCAAAGAAGAAGCCAAAACGGTTGACCCCTAACTGTACGCAGCTGAATTTAAAGCCGGGGCAATGCACCAGCAGGATACGTGCTCTGACATGTTGAAACATGCCTCAGTGGGGTGGTTTTAATGGCAGTCACCCCCAATTCCTATGGAACACTAACCCCTGTTGATTTTAACAAAGAACGGAAGCTAAGACCAAGGAAGGAGTGATATCGTCCCGGCTCTAGATACATTAAAAACCCAACAGTCTTCCAATGATCGGGGTGGGAAAAGCATTTGTCAGAAAAATAGCGCTCAGTGGCAGACTCTTCAGTATCATGTGCCTGTTCTTTTTCCCTAAAAAGACCTCTGATCTTTTGTATAGTAAATCAAAACCAAAAACAACCTCCTCCAACCACCCATCTCCTTTAACTGGTAAGATAACCTTTTGGGTTTCATTTTAAAAGTTACCACCTCTCTGAAGGCTTCCGTTGGACCAAGTTTGTGGGTTACCACTCTGGGTTCCTTTAGATTTCCTTACTTAAGGAATTTGTTCAGACCGTGATGCTCAGGGTCTCAGCTGAGTGTTCCTTGTTTGCTTGTGCTTCCCCAATACCTAACATCTATTAGAAGCCTAATTAAAGTTAATGAAATTAATACTTGAATGAAATTATGGTTTCAGGGGTAGGGATGGACACAGAAAACCAGTCCTTATTTGGAAGCTGGCTGAGCAAGGGAACCAATCCCTTCACCTTTCTGGCTTTCAGATTTTTTTCAATAAAACTTAGAGACCATGGCTTACCAGAAAGTAAAAAGGAAACAGGTATAAATTCCTCTTTTCATTCATTTTAGGAAAGAGGCACTCAGAGGGAGACATCTGTATTTGTAAGCTAAAAATATACATGTAATGCCATTTCCCCAGGCAACTTAAATTTCAGTGTGACTCATGATCGCCATCTGCTGGAGAGAAGTTGAGCATCTATTTCATTTAAAAGATGGAAGTCACAAGGTTTTTAATATCAGATACTGTGCGCACACACACACACCCCCCCCCAACAACTGTTAAACCTATAAAATATAATCTATAAACTCTAGAGCGCTCAGAGTAAAAATGTTATTAGGCACATTTAAACATTCAACTCCAGAATTTTTGACAGTATGCTTCCTATAGAAATAAAATTTAATGTTTCGAATCCATTTTCAAATACTTGACTGTAACTTATTGTATATTAATTCTACCACATTACCATGGAGGGCAAAGGCTCCATTATCTTCAGGCTGTGTCCATAAGGAGACAGGAGAAAACTTATTTCCAAATGGTAGTTTTTTGTTTTGTTTTAGTTCTCAAAAGAATAAGAAAGGCAACAGATTAAAAATCAATACCGTTAGTACTTTAGGACAACAAGTAGCTTTGGTCAGGGAGATTGAAAGAGATTATGGTCATGGCCTTATAAATAATAAAATATTTTATTTTGCCACATCATGTCCCAAAGACATACTCATATATAAATACATCTGGAGAGAGAGAGAGACACTCAACAAGTTAACTGAGAGCGAGCGGTGTGTGTAATTCTACAACTGGGGGACGAGTATCAAGCTGGAAGATATCATATATGCTATCACATGTCTTTGAGAAATAAGCAGGATCCAAAAATAAGTTCAAACATAAGGAAGGTCTGAGAAACAAACCAGCTTCTAAAGTGATCACAGTCTATTGAGGAGACAGGAGAGGCAATATCTAGAGTCACATATGGCCACGGTATTCAGCAGAGAAAACCGCCTGCAGCTAGGGTGGGACATTCCCCAGGATTACACAGAGGGGACGGCACACGGGGAAGGGAGGCGCAACCACCTTTCAAGAAAGGAAGCACCAGGGAGTAAATTGCTTGAAAGGGAGGAAGGAGTTAAAAAAAAAAAAAAGTCAGCTTTTACTTATCTGCAGGCAGGATTCAGTAAGCTGAAGCTAACAGACAAACCTGATCCTGTGCAGTATAAACATGAATAAAGTTAAGGAATTCTGCAGTTAGGAAGTTATTTGATGGAAAGTGAAAGGTTAGAATGAAGATAACTTAAGTAGCCGGGAGCACGAACTCTGGAGCCAGAATGAGGATTCTGGCTACCCTCTTTTGAACTGTGTAATCTCAACCAAATTTCTTAACCTCTCCGTTTCCTTGGTGTCTTCATCTGTAAAACTGGAATGAACGATACCTAGCTCAAAGGGACGTTGTGAGGATTAAGTAGTTAATAGATTCAAGGGCTCCAAACAGCACCTGGCACACAGTGAGTACTACACAAAAATGTCTGCTATTTTGAATTAAGGAAGCAAGATTTCTTGCTATTTATAAAGCATCAATAAGAGTGTATCCATCACTTTTTGGATGAATAGCCTTGGTCTCCTTATCTGTAAAATGAGAGTATTTTTAGTTGTGACGCAAATGAGGGATGTGTGTCTATGTACACACACACATTTATGTACACACACATATATGTACACACACATACATTTATGTACACACACACACACACACACACACTGGCTAGCCAGGGATAAGCACTGGGTTGTTCACTTATACATTTTTATTATTAGCTACAGAGTCACACAAGCTGTATTTTTATTATATTATTTTGTATTACACATGATACACCATGATCAACTCTATGCACACATGCATGCATATGTAACTTGTGTGCAAGTGTGTGGGGGGAGGGCACGCTTATCTTCAATGACACAGATGCAACAGTAGACATTGGCAAGAAGCGGTTAGACTAGCCTAACTTTGATCCAAAATTATAAAAAGTAGGAAGATCTATACAAAGCAATTCTAGAGACTTTTCAGCAAAAGCCTTAACCAGTATTAAGATTTGTTAATGCTTGGACCAGAGGAGATTCAACAGTAAGAGGTGTGTCAAGATATTCTGATCTTTATTTATTGGCTCCTTGAAAAGACTGAAGTTTTCTGGAAACCAAGTTTTCTGTATGAGCAAAATGGTCTTTCACGTACCTTTTCAATCAACTCATAACTCTCTTCGAGCTTCAGCAGCCGGTTCTGCACAGACGTGGATGCGCGCTGATAGACCGCTCGCCATTCCTCAAAGTCGCTCTCCGAAATCTCAGCCACAGCGAAACATAAAGTTCTTAACCCTGAAAGAAGATAGCAGACATCCCCCCAACACCAAATAATATTTCATTCAGAAGTCTGACCCTTCCATTTTTATATAACTAAGTCTTGTTTTGAAAAGACCAATTCAATTTAAATAATATGGTTGACGTCTGATTCAGTTAGGACACAACCTCAGTGTAAAATGGGTATCAAAGCTCCCCTTACCTTCAGCTGGCCCCCTGATTTTGATTCCCAGCTCTTTCAATACAGCCTTTGTGCTTTTTCCAAAGTGATTTTTTCCCGACACCCTGATCTTATCAGGTTATTCTTTTGCTTGAAATCTTCCGATCGTTCATCCCCAGGATGAAGTCCAACTGCCAAAGGCTAGCTCACTCACCATGTACCAAGTGTCTTCGACCTCCTTCCCTGCCATTTACCTCCTATATACCCAGGTCTCTGCACATGCTGGTCACTTTTTCTCCATTTCGCCCCCTCCAACTCTCTCCACTGTCTGCCTTGCGTCTACTTTAAGACTCGGTTCATGCCATTATCTCTGAAGAATTCTCCTCTCACTCAGACCCGAGGCAGAAATCCCGAAATGCTCATATGGTGTGAACGACAATGTTCCATATTGTTTTTCTTGTGGAGCTCCTCTGTTAGTGTATAGCTCCTGGAGGGGAGGGCCCTGAGTTCTTCAGTTCCATAGCTCCCGTACTGAGCACAGTGGCTGGCTTACAACAGAGGCTTCATAGACGCTTATGAAGAAAGAGAGGGACCCCAGTGGCATTTACTTGGAAAGCCATCTGCCTCTTACAGGGATATATGGTTGTGCTTATTACTGCTCTTCGTCACTGCAAATTTGTAGTATATTTAAGAAACAAAACAGAGGATCATAGGAGAAGAGAGGAAAAAATAAAACAAGATGAAATCAGAGAAGGAGACAAACCATTAAGAGACTTAATCATTGGAAACAAACTGAGGGTTGCTGGAGGGGAGGGGGTGGGGGGATGGGGTAATGGGGTGATGGACATTAAGGAGGGCACATGATGTAATGAGCACTGGGTATTATATAAGACTGATGAATCACTGACCTCTACCTCTGAAATTAATAACATATTATGTTAATTAATTGAATTTAAATTTTAAAAAAAGGAAATAGTAAAAAAAAAAGTCTAAAAAAACTGAGGTATAGTGACAAAACAAAGGACTCATCAGAAACACCCTGGGAAAACAATCGAAGCTGATGTTTGAGGTGACCTACTCCCAGTGCTTGGTGCCTATCAATTTCATAATTCACTTGGAAGCAACCCTCAGCCAGAAAAAAATAGTGGATTGGAACAAAGAAGAAACAAAAGCATTTAGCAGCCAGGACAAATGCAGTTAATTAGGTTCCTGAGAAGACAACACCCTCACTCAAGGTCATTAACTCTCAGAATAACTAGGTGCTAGTGATCTCAAGCCAAATAAAATATGGCCAGGGAACATGTCAGAAACAAGCAGCAGAGAACATAAGACATAAAGTGCCCAGAGGACTCTATCTTCCAAGAAAGGAGTAGGGTTGTCTGTTGCCAGCTCACTGAGCACAGAACTTAAATCTTTGGGGCCATATCAGGACATGTTTTTCTCTTTTGAACAGTTTTTTTTTTTTTTT